ATAGAAATATTTTCCTTACGTATTGTGGCAAATTTTTCATTATGCGAAGCACTGCAAACTGAAACATAATTATATAAATAAATTAAATTATTACGGCAATTAGATTTAAAAAATTAAGTAACTCACTTGCAATAAGAGCTGTGGTTGAAAGTACCAACAAAATGATCTTCATTTTTCCACAAGAACCCTCTCATACATCTAATGGATTGATCTTATTTTTAGGAAAACAATTCCCCTCAACTCATGATGCTGCGTGATCTTTTTCACGCAACATTTCGTTTTCACTCATACTTAAACAATTGGAATCGACCAATCAAACATGTATCAGAAGTTTGCTATCAAGAATTGATGGTAAAAACCATTCAATCTTTAAAATACGCTTACGTTAGAAGAAGAAAGAATATCCAAATCTTTATCCCCTCTTCTCAAGTAATGTTACATACGTGCGTTTCACTGAAATTCAGAATTGTTTATCACAAAGTTTTTGCCTAAAGATCATAACGACAGCAAGATCAGATATTTATTAAGTAAATTTTATTTAATGAACAAGTGAAATTTACTAATGAACAAATATAATGAGTGTCATTAATTTTATTAACGATATTTAAACATTACCTCAAATAATCAAATAATATTTCAACCCAAACACGCACCTTCATTTCAATTCAAATAAAAAAGCGATCTTAATGAATGTAAATAATGTCAAATGATTTTCTGGTTTCTTAATGAACAAGTGTAATTTTGCTTTTGAACGCAGGTTGAGTAAATAATATTTCGAGTTCAAAAGTATCAATTGTTATATTTTTTTTGAATCCAGAAATTTCTCGTGCTCACTTAAAATCAAGAAAATATTTTCGGTATAAATGTATGTGAATTAAAGCGAAATTTATAGAAATTGATTCTTGCTGGTTTAAATAGGATGAATTCACCATTCCTTTTATTACTCCGTATGTACTTTTACAATACAGTATAATTACATTTTAATTGTTATTCATTTCATTTCAATTACAAGGATTTCATATTGTTAATTTTGAATCGGTTTATTTCGCATAAATTTCATTTCTTACAGGAGGATATCAAGAAAAAATTGTGTAATGATTAAGATAAGCTTGTTGAGTAATGAAAAGAAATGAACTGAAAATTATCAAACAAAACAGTAAACATACAAACGGATGTGTTCAACCTCTTTACCGATATTTCTTGTTTTTATTAGAACGAAATTTCATAACCATCTTTTATTCGCAACGAATTAAAAATTGAATAGCGTCTAACTTGATTTGTCTTTGTTTCTTGTTTTTATCTAATAATGTTGACATAAATTATTATCTAAGGGATTTGATTTTCTCTGATTATTAAAATGACCTATTAAAAATGTATAAAAGGCGAGAAATTTTGTTTATCATCATCAGTTAAAAATTTATTGTTTACACATCAATAACAGTCTTTCTTCAAGCACGAGTTAAAAAACATTGAATAAAATGACAAAGATAATTTTCATCACATTCCTTGCATTAATTGCAATTGCATATAGTTCAGCGAACAGCGTTGGAAGTCAAAGCGATGAAATTCCAATGGGTAAATTTATTTATTTGTGGCACATTCTGAAAATATTTTCAAGCATAATCTTTATTTATTTGTCAGTAGAAGGCGAAGAAGCGAAAATCAGCTCTTGTTCAGAGAAGTGGATTCCTTTTTCTGTTAGAAACGCTGCTTGCAACACTTGGTGTATGAAAGTTTTGAAAAGACCTGGCGGATATTGTGATGGAAAAACATTAATTTGTACTTGCTACAAACCATAATAGGAAGACATTTCATATTGAACCCAATAATATCTGCTAACTTGATTTTTAAAAAACGAACGAATCCAAAATTTATATTCAAATAAGAGAAATTGAAATTGAATAAAATTTTAATCATGTAAAAATTATATATATTTTATTTTACTCCAGAATCATGCTTAAGTTGTCATGAAATAACATTTTTGTCCACATGCATAATTGATCTTAATTAGGAACTTTCTGCTATTTCATTACAAAAATATTTCATTCTGGTTTTTAAAAGAACATTAATAAAATATGTTTATATGAAAAACGAGATTAGGATCTGCAAACTTGTCAACATATTCTATCGAATTTAACAATT